AAATCATTCCAAGTCTTCAGAAAATAACGATTAAATGGAGATGTACAAAACCTGGTGGACTAGAGCACTCCAGGAGTAGGGTTGAAAACCCCTATCCTATAGTTACAACTAGGGATGCAGACACTGAACTCTTATACCAGTTTACTACTTCTTTCCTTTTGGCAAGTGGCTAATAATTGGATCATCATGTATACAGAACACCTGAAAAGATATATTACCTGGTTTCCCTCCTTGAAACTAAGCCCAAAATCAATTAACTTGAAGCACTCATCATCTGCACTCCATAAGATATTACGTGGTTTCAGGTCAGCATGCACATAACCTTCCCGATGCATAAAACAAAGTGCCTCAAGAATATCTCTGGCGCAGTGCTGGATCATCCACATGGAGTGTCTGTGGTTGCTGGACCGCATCAGCAGCTCTGAGACACTGACATCAAGCAATTCCAGAAGAAGGCAGTGAGTAGATGTATTTGGAGTGTAGTTATTTGTAAAAACTCCATACAAGGAAACTGCAGAGGGAAAGAACCAAACACCATGACACTGATTAAAACATCTATATATTTTATATTAGCTTATTTATAGCTTAATTATATTGTCTAATATATTTTAAATAGCCACAGTGACACTGAGTGATGTGAGTTAAAAATACACTAACGATAGAGTAAATGTCCCTCCTTTAAAATGATTACAAATCTAATGATAATTATTTACACTCATACAGTATAGTGCTTTTCTGGACACTCAACTCAAAGCACTTCACAGGTAATGGGGACTAACCTCCACCACCACCACCACCACCACCACCAATGTGTAGCCCTCACCAGGATGATGCGACAGCTATCAGCGGGGAGGAAAGCAGAGTGATGAAGCCAGTTCATAGATGGAGATTAGTAGGAGGCCATGGTTTGTAAAGGCCGGGGAAAATTTGGCAAGTACACTGGAGTAACACCCCTACTCTTTTGGAGAAATGCCCTGGGAATACTTAATGACACGGAGAGTCAGGACCTCGGTTTTACATCTCTTGCAAAGATCGGTGCCTTTTTTTTTTACAGCAGAGTGTCCCCATCACTATACTGGGGCATTAGGATCCACACAGACCGCAGGGCAAGCGCTCTCTACTGGTCCCACTAACACCTCTTTCAAAAAAAAAAACAGTTTTCCCAGGAGATCTCCCATCCAGGAACTGGTCAGGCTCACACCTGCTAACAATGCTAAACTAACACACAAATCGACCATTTTAACAAAAGATTCAAAGCATGAACCTTTGGAGAAAAAATGAGTACAAAACTATTCTTTTTTGTGCCGTGATAAAATCTTAAAACTAAGGAATCATTCTTGGTGTAAATAGGTTTGGGCACAAATGCAATATATTTTAAAGGCCAGCTAACATGAAAAATCATGAAATTTTGTTTCTACCCAGCTGATCGCACGCTACTAGGCTGATGTAATCAAAATTCCAGCCTAGTGACACAGTCTATTGTAAAGGATATTTGACTATTTACCAATATTTCTGTGTCCTTGGATGTCTTCAAGTATTGTTCTCTCTTTGTGATACCCGTAATCCCCACCCTGTGTATCCACCTGAAACTCTTTTACAGCCGCAGAGGCGGATCTCTCCGAGGTAACACGGTAAACCGAAGCTGAAACGCCCTGCCCAAGCCTCGCCTGCACGCTCCAGACTTGTCCGAATATCTCGAAACTTGGTGTCACCGGCTGGTTCACACTTCCGCGTGAATCTGCCATTGTCACGGAGAAATCCCCATCAAGTACCTCTGTCTGACCGCTAGACCCGCAGTAGGCAGCCATTGTGTATGCACGACCGAATTGGTAAAGAAATTAAATATTTTTCAACAGAGAAAAAAAAACACAGCTTCACATTTCAAGTCAGCATTGTTAAATTACAGTAGTTTTCATCACGCAACGGCGCCTTGCGAATTAACTTTTTTTCACATTACAGAATATGCATGCACCTCAACTTCGTGTTGCAAATTTTAACTGGCTAAGTAGTCACAGCTCAACCCATAGCAACGGCTATTAAACTCTCAGTCCTGCCAACATCGAAAACGCTAGATTTTGCACCGAGTTGTTTGCGAAACGTAAAATTCTCATTTTAAGAAGTTCGTTTTCATGTAGTTATGTAATTTTTGGAGTTAGTGATTCTGGAAAGAAAAAAAAACCCTTTCGCCTGTTTATACAGCCATCTTTACCGGAAGTATGAACCATAGAATATGAGGACTTGTACTAGAGTTCCTTGGAGGACTAACAAAACTAATATCTGTGGTATACGGATTATATAGTTATGTGCCCTGAAAAAGCATTGATTTTTAATTATGATTAGTAAACGTGTTACATTTACTTTCGAACAGTTTCAATTAATCTCCGTATTGAAAATCACACTGATTTCCCAATTTAGTACTTGAAACCTATTTAAGGTCTAACCAGCTATTTTCAATTGCTTCTCGTACAGGGCAACCCGAATTCTGTAAAATACAGTATCTCACTATTAAGATCTCACATATTGTGAAACATAACCAAGTTGGAGGATATACAATTTAAGAATAAGTTGTACAGAAGTAGCATGTCAAGCAGAAATGTGCTAATCAAAGAAACTTTGACATTGAGTAATTAGGTAATATAGTGTATGGCCTTAAGTCCAAAGTAGAACATACTCTGAGAAAGCAAAAAGATAGTGAATTATGATTACAAATGCCAAACATAAAAAAATAGTGGACTATGAACGAATTGTTCTCAACTGTGATTGAGTAACAAAGATTTAAGATCACTCTATTAAGGATATATAAACAGCTGATGGTTTTGGAATGGGATTTGTATTTAAAGTGTTTTTAAGACTGTTATGCCTGTAAACTACTGTGTGCTTTGCAGTATCCATAGGCACTATTTATTCTGGAATGTAATTAATTTAATATCTCCTTTGCTATCAAAGTCTTATTATTAACAGGCACCAGCATTCCCAGGTTTACATGTAGTGAACTACATGCACTAAAACCTAAAGATAAAGGTACCTATTGCCTTTTATCGCTTGAAGAAAAATGTAACCCAGCTCTTCCTCCAGCTAGTGCCCACTACCACATCCATATTAGGCCACAACTCTAGTTTCACACAGTTTTTATTACTAACCTCTCCATGATTTTATTAAGACAATTTACAAAATGTTTAACTTTGGCCAGCAGTACATATGACACACAAAGACATAAACAATATGTTTCAGTGGGAAGCTATGTCTGCATACAATAGCTGACAAGGTAACAAGTAGAGGTTAATTCCATGTTGAGAAGTAGAAATTAGAAACACAACTTTTCAGCTGTTGTGCCTTCTTCAGGTGTGAGGGGAGAGTAAGGTAGCAATATTATGTACAGGAGAACAAAGGACAGAACTTGTGAGAGAGAAAGAACAAATACAGGGACATCTGGGGGAGAGGCAAACCCAAATCCTTTCAACATGAATTACAGTTTTTTAAGTGCCCATTTGAAAAATGAAAAATGACCGATCCACTTGAGATCATTTTCACTTGTATTGTATACTGCTTTTTTAGAATTTAGCAAATGATTTTAAAATAACACTATGTTGCAAGAAATAACATTTATTTCAAACTGAAACACAGACTGCAATTGTAAAATATTACATTCGTTTTTTCTATATCATTTTCCCCCATCTAATAATGTAAAGTCATTTAGACAAAAAAAAACTATTTACTTCATCTCTGATGAATGGAATTAATCCCTGTGAGCCATTGAGTCATTTACCAGGAAATAAAACAATGAGGTTATAATTTGCCTGTCTTGATGACAGTTCCATGGTAACACTACAAATATTTAAATCGGAGAACACTTCCTGAATTTAACTTTATAGGCTATATATTCCAACAACGCGCAAATTAAACTAATTGTAAGATTAAGCATTAAAATTACGTTATCTTTCTTGGACCCCAGTCTTAACCTTATCGATTTAAAACATATGTATATATTATTTTTAATTAACTTAATTAAAAAATGTTCCGCTTCGAGGTTGCCCCAGTGGGTGAGGGTGACGTGATGACGAACGCAAGAATGCAGACTAACCGGTAAAATGAGCCGTGGTATTTTTAACCTAAACGCTTGGGAGGGGTTGATATATAAAATATTACACAGTACTACCCCAAATTCAATACTGACGGTAAGTCTATTTTTCAGGAGAATATTAATTTACGTAAAGACAAGGCAGCCAAACGCACAATGACCTCCTCCTAATGATTTTCTTCCGAGGTTGCTGTACTACCGACTCCTCCTCACACAAACACATACAGAGAGACCCAGCAAGACAGCCTGTTTCTCTGCCAGTGAGGGGCTTGTCTTCACGCTTTGCCACGTCAAAGTGACGGATGTGGAAGGTGGATCCGGGGGGCGGAGGAGGTGTTGGAAAAAAAAGACGAGGCAGACTCAAGTTATGTGCACTTTTTGCTGTTAAAGGGAAGATAATCTACACTGAGAATAGATTATAAGGTATGTACACCGTATGTTCAATTTTTCAAATTTCATGCATTGCACTCAATTTGTAAGTGTCTATTTATGTTCGTGGATCACCGGTTCTTATGATGCACACTCGAACACGCTGTATACCCAGGCTAGGCTGTCAGAAAGTGAAAGGATATTTCATTTAAAAGAAGAACAATTCTAAAGGCGATTGCACTGTTTGGTTTCCATTCGAGTTACTTGTGTACCAGCGCAATGTACCATTTAAAGTTCTTCAAAATTGCTTACAGGCATTTTAAAATGAACTGGTTTAATCATTATCTCTACATTTCAAAGATGAACTGTGTATGTATTAGGCTTTAGGAATAACGTAGCCATGCTAGTACTTATTTTCAGATTAATTTTTATATCCCGTTCTGTGGAAATGTATATCTTAGTATGACCATAGGAAAATCTTGTCGGGGGTTGTTGGTACATACAGGTCATTTCCTGCCCCATAAATCAAATCAAATCAAAGTTTATTTATCAAATGCACAACAATACAGTGGCAGCAGTAGTTGCTGGCAATGAAATGTCTTTTCTGCAAGCTCACAAAAATCGCAAGAATCACAGAAATCCAATCATTGTTGACAGCAGTGCCCAGACTGGCCCAGTCTAAACTAAATCTCTACTTGGTGGATACTTCTTTTTGCATAATGGGTAGATAGATGACACGCTTGCAGTGTTGATAGTTTTAATAACATTTTATGGAGTGAATGTCTTTGACTTCTTAAAAACTAATAGCATTATAAAGATTGATAGTAATAATGCAGTTAAATACCTTTGCCAATGTAATGCCAATAATCATGTTTTGGTTTTGCTTTTTTGAGATGCATGTGAATCTTACCACCTTTCATTCCCTATAAGCTTCAAGGTGTTGTGACACCTAGTTCGACCCTGTATTCCCTACGTGTATTTTCAGAGAAAGAGATCACCACACTGTTCATGACCATGGATGTCAGCAGAATTGTTGAGAAACTGGCAGAAGCAGGCCAGTCCCATCTGTTGCAGTTCTGGAATGAGCTCACCGAAGAAGAACAAGCTGAAATGACGCTAGACCTTGAAACCATGGACTTCATTGAGATCAATGGCTTCTTTCAAAATGCCATGAAGGTGTCTGGCCACACCAAGCAGGCAAAGGTGGATGAGAGGATGGAGGCTGTCCCCAGGGAGGTCTTGGGTAGTGTTACTCGGGACAGAGACAAGCTGAAGCTGTGGGAAGCTGAAGGTTAGTAGGATAACTGTACCCTGTTATGGTTGTATCTTGTGGCTGTGATGTTAAGCCATCTGTTAAAAATAGCACCCACTGGGGTTCTGGAATTTATATGGCATAAACAAATATTTAGGCTTCCAAGCCAGAATGGTTTGAAGAACAGACTAATTAATCAGAAAGTGCAATGAAGACTTATTTTTTTTCCCAGTATTACCATAAGAAAATTGTAAAGGATGAAGTTAGGCGTCTCGGAGAAACCAGTGGGAAAATAAAAGAGAGAAAATTAAAAATGTTTAAAATACTAAATTAATATTAATGGGTGTGTTCACCTTGGAAAAATTGACAGCCTCCCTCACATTGAACAAGGAAAAGGTTCTGTATTAAAATGATGATATCCATTACTTTGACTAGAATCTTGCAATTGTATTGTAGCATCCATCCCCGGAAATTGTTGCCAAATTGATTGGGTCCAGTTTTTTTTACCAAATTAGTTTTTCTTTCTTTTAACTTTTTGGAATTGTTATTTGGACCAAACCGGGCTTTTAATTTTTTGTTTTTATTGTTGTTTTTTTGATTGTTTTCTTATTTTTTAACTTGGTTTATTTCCTTTTTTTTTTTTAGACAATGTGAGGAAATGCAAGAAAACAGGAAACAACATAAGGATGTATAGTTAAAAGCATATAATTTATATGTTAAAAAGTTAAAACTGTACAATACACTACCATGCCCCCATTAAGAATATTGTACGTGATTTTCACCACTACAAATGAAGATTATTATTCAGTTGCTATCTAGATAAATTGTTGAAATTGAAATTGTTGAAATATTGCCTTTGGTTTTAGTAGCTGATGTAATTTTCTGAAATTTCTGTATACTTCATGATGGTGTAGAAATTGCGATGATGCATGTATTAAAAAGTTTGCTGAGGATGTTAGAGGTCAGCTGTTCACATCTGGTTCTGTTTATGTTCTATGCAAGCAGGGTTTGGTGTTGTAGTTCATGAAATTGGTGTTTGGATTTGTTCTTCGAACATTATGTTTTATTGGTAAATTTAGAGTACATTCATTTGGTCCTCATACCCCAAATCAATGTAAATATTTTGTTAGTGGGAAGGGAAATTCTTTTTTGTTCATATCCCTGCAGTTTTGTGTGTTTGTGTTTTGTCTAAACAAAGAAAGTTGGGTAATGGAGTTTTTTACTCTGGACAAATAGGCGGGTTGAAGTCATTTACTGGCACACATGTTTTTGAAATAGTGCTTCCTTTTGGCAGTCTGCTTTGATAATTGATGTGTAGCATGCAATAAAAGATTGTAACAAGACAATCAAGAACTGCATGCCCCAAGGAAGTACATTTCTTACTTATCTCAGATGATTATCTTATCAAAGGTGATCTTTGACACTTAGGTCCACCCTTTAGGTAATTACACACACTGAAGCTCTTCAGTAGTATCATACACACACCTTACATGTGACTCATTTTGGTTTCTGTTGGCAAAACAGGTTTATTGATGTTTGAAGACCAGATTTACTGGCCATTCAGATTTTATGGGCACATAAATATTAATTCTTCTGTATTTTCTCTTGGTGATTTAATTATTTTGATCAACTTTTGGATTGGAATCATTTTAGATGCTAAATAAACTATACAGATGTGAGTTTAGTCCACTGTGTTTGACAGTGTATTTAACTTCCTCCAATCTGTCATACACTTCCTATAAAAAATAATGGAAGGTGCGATTAACTTGCTCAAGATTGAGGAAAGCCTAAAAGTCATTGCCCGTTTAATAAATTATACCCTGGTAAGTAGGATACTACATAAACTCTGAGCAATTTGTTGGTATTAAATAAAGCAGCAACTGTAAATCATGGAATAATAATTTTGGCCAAGTGTTCTTCCAGCTTCTCAATATCCTGTATCCTTTATCTTTTTAAAAATTGTAATAAATCTTGCTAAGAATTTATTTCAGCCATTAAATTTTCAGTGTGACGTATTCTTAGAGGTACATGCCTGGTTCAGTTGTAGTCTGCCTGACTATATTTCTTTTTTATTTACTTCCATATTTGCTGTCTTTCTCCTCAGGGCTTAAATGCATTTCCCAGAACAAAGTGGCTGTTCTTCTTCTGGCCGGTGGTCAGGGCACCAGACTTGGAGTCTCATACCCTAAAGGAATGTATGATGTAGGCTTGCCATCGCACAAAACTCTCTTTCAGATCCAAGCGGAGCGCATTATAAAACTGCAGCAGCTAGCTGAGGAGCAATTTAAGACAAAATGCAACATACCATGGTAGGAGTACTAATGCAAATTTCAGATTGCCGACTGGAACATAGGTTACAATTTAGCTGTCTGGCTTGTTTAGGTGCTGATAGATGATAGATCCAAGGATTTTGTTTATTTGTTTCTTGAAAGATTCCACAGGATCAATTTTAACTTAATGTCTAGGTAGCTCGATCCAGACTCCCACAGCCCTTTGTGTAAAGAGATTCCTCCTGTTCTCAGTATCTAAGTTACTTCCCCTTAAGCTCTTCTTTGATCATGGTGCATGAAAGGCACTAGTGGATCAAGCGGTTTAACACACAAATGAAGATCAATAAGTTATATCGCTGTGAGATAATTCCCTTCCCTATAAAGCAATATTACTCTGCTTGTGCATATAGTGCTTACAATAAACTTTCACATTGCTTACGTCTAAAGAAATCTTGTGAGGAAAGAACTTATGACCATGCCACTGAGTCTTGCTAAATTCAGAACACAGATCTGCATTTGTGCATTTTTATGGTACATGCAAGGCCGAAGGCTCAATGAAACAATTAAAGAACCTCTGTTTTATGAGTGTGTTGTTGTTATGCCCCGGCTGGCTGGAGTACATTGGAGATGTAGATGCAGGCGAACTGACCGGAAAGTGAGGCTGACTGTTGCCTAGGGATTGAAGGCAGAGAGGAGAGCCTGCCTCAGTACAGCTGACAGGACAGGGATGTCGCTTAATTCGGTGCTGCTTACGAGGATTATCTGGGAGTTGAAATAAAACCTACAATTTGGAGAATTGGGATGGCAGAACAACAGGTTCCTGAAGCAGGCAGGAAACTGCATAACTCTGAGTATCTCAATGTCAGAGTACTGAATTAGTGCAGTTTCTGACTTACGTTTGGTGATTAATTAGATGGATGATTGGGTTCCTGATTGAAAGGAAGATGGATGCACAGACACAGACTAACCTGGTCTTCATGGGCTGGGTTGGAATGTGAGTGCTCATGGGAATGCGGCAATTACTCATGGCAACCACAGGCAGGAGCCTCTCCCAGCCTGGGTGTGACAGTTCTCCTTAGTTTTATTTTCATCTGAATTTCCCTTTATCAAAAGCCTTACCTTTTTCAAAGAAGCACAAGTTGTTGTCATGTTCCCATATTGCATGTATCAAACTGCGCATTGTTGCACCAGACGCACAGGAAGATGACATGATGCTCATTTCAAACATGTTAGTTTTTCTGTTAATCTGACCAAATTTGAATTTGGGTTGAATTTGACTCCGTTGAAAATGCATCATGTTGGTGTGATGTTCCTTCAGGTCTCTTAGGAAACATGTCCTTTTTACTAGGTATATTATGACCAGTGGTCGAACAATGGATTCTACCAAAGAGTTTTTCGCTCGGCACAATTTCTTTGGCCTAAAAAAGGAAAATGTAGTCTTCTTCCAACAAGGAATGTTGCCAGCCATGGACTACAATGGGAAGATCATCCTTGAGGGAAAAGGCAAACTTTCCATGGCACCAGGTATGTCTGTGACCGGTTCTTCAGACTTATATGAGTACAGAGGAAAGAAATGCGATATTGTTCAGTCAAGTTTAAATTTTCTCTTGCTGTGTAAAGTGGAATTCTCAATATCTGATATTCTTTGAATTTTTTTTAGATGGAAATGGTGGACTTTATCGAGCACTGGGAGCACAGAAGATAGTAGATGATATGGAACAGAGAGGGATTGCATATATTCATGTGTACTGTGTGGATAATATCCTAGTCAAAGTTGCAGATCCAGTTTTCATTGGTTTCTGTGCGCAAAAAGGGGCTGATTGTGGAGCCAAGGTAAGTCAGTGGTTTCCAATGGAATTAAAGGAAATGTTTTGATTACATCCAGGATGATTCAGGAACAGGCTAAACCAGATGTACATACTGAACACAAGGTGGCGCTGAAAGATTCTAAAGAGCTTTAAAAAATAAACCAGTGCTCTCGTACTGTACTACTGTACAACAAAATGTTCCCATAGGAGTTTATACACTGAAAAACAATGTGTACTTAAATACTGTTGTTCTCATTCAAGACTTGTAGATTAAGCCCAGTGTAGTATATGATTAAACCAGTCACAAATTTAATTTTCTTTTGAATGCAAAAAAGAATAGCTTGACATCAAAACTGGCAGGAAGCCAGTGGCATGGGTGTTTTTTTATTTAAAAAATTCTAAACAGATGTTAGTTTTGCATGGATAGGTCTGAACCTCACAGAGCTCAACAGTGAGTGTGTGCTCACTGTGTTGTGTATGAAGTAACATGAGGCTTGAATTTATTTCTCACGTTTCCATGCAATGTGCGATTTCGCAACATTATGTTGCTCTAATTTTATAGGTTCAGTGTTAATATTTTAATTGCCATTTTAATGTTTTGCAGCCACCTCTTGAGAATGTCTTTGGCTGTGATTTTGAACAAAAAAAATTTAACAGCACTGTGTTACTGAGTACTGTGGTTAAATTGTTCTCATGAAAGAAAAACACTCTCATGTGATGTGCAAACAGCCACAGTAGTTTTGTAATACTGTTTCTGAAAAATGTCTTGAAACCTGAATTCTTTCCATTATGACCCTTATTGGTTTGATAGCTTGACATTTGTTCTATGATTGACCAAAGCCTTTTTCGTTATTAGAGTATAACAATTTTTGAAGTATACATCACTTAGACTGAGATATGTTCGTAATAGCCACAACACAGAAAGGCCAACTTAAGATGTTCATTCTAATCTTGAATAATATTTAAAATGTCAATCAAGAAAACAATAGGTTATTTTTATATAAGTAACTCAACTGTTTAAAAATATATTTTTTTATTTTTTTATATTTGTCATCTGTGAGTGCTTTATCCTCTTCATCCTCTTTATTCTTTTCACACAACTGGTTGCTCTGGATGACAGGAGTATTTCAGGGTTGTAGGTGGAAAAGGAAGGACACACCCAGGTCTATTTTGTATTTCTTTGCCTGGATGTTCAAGTTATATGAAACAAATATAGCAGGGGATTTCTTGATTTCTGGTCCCAGTGGATTTTGTTTTTCTGGCAAAGATCTTACAAAGTGACTCACATGGAATTAAAAAGGTACTCAACCAGTACTAGTAGACATTCTTTAATGCTCTGTGTCGTTTGGAATTAGTCATTTCCAGACACCACTTTGTTTGGCTCTGTCATTGAAATGAGTGTTTTTTAGAAACTGTATGAATAAGGTCACCGAAGGAAATGGAATACTATATTTTCTTTCCTGAAAGAAATTTTGTTTTTACTTTAACAGGTTGGGAATCAATTTTTTCATGGGTCATTTTTGACAAGTGGACATTTAGTATGAGGAAAGCGGTTCTGGAAAATATTTTACTTGACAGGATTTAAGGCTTTTTTAACATTCTTTTTGGAACTGTTATGTGCTCTTAAAAACTACTAGGAAATGTTCATCATTAACTAGCCAAAGTGCTTCAGGGTTTTTATTTTTATGTATGACAAACTGAAATAGTAACAGGGAGCTATATAATAGAATGGGAACTCTGATTTAAAAGGGAGTTTAGAATTTTTTAAGCATTTTTAACAAGGGCATTTGTTATTTTATATCCGTTCCATCCATAGCATTTTCCTTAAATTAGTATGAAAAGTACATACCTCGGTAACCCTTCTTTTTTAACAAGATACATTTCATTTTCATCAGTGAATGTAGTATTTCATGAGAGTTTAACACATCATGGATGCTAACACTTTGGGAAGCATTACATGCCAAACGTATTTTTACCCCAGCTTTGTCCAGAGATTGTGTCTCTTGGAAATGACAGAGAAGAATGGACAAAAGAGAACTGGTCAGACAAAAATTGCGAATGTTGCTCTTTCGGTGCTCTGACAGCACTGCTGTGGCCTTGTCAACCTCCCCAGGTAGTGGAGAAGACGAACCCCACTGAGCCCGTTGGAGTGGTCTGCAAGGTGGACGGGTGCTACCAAGTGGTGGAGTACAGCGAGATCACCTTGGCGACAGCGGAGAAACGCAGCTCGGACGGCCGGTTGATGTTCAGTGCTGGCAACGTGGCCAATCACATCTTCGCCCTGCCATTCCTCAAAGATATAGTCAAGTAAGTGGTGGGATGTAGATATTTCCACTCTTCTTTTTTTGTCCGCTCTTCTAAATAAGGATGTACTGTACTTTGCTCTCACCTCGGTTAACCTTGGCCTCACACAGCAGCAGAGGGTGATTTGGCTGGCAGGTCTGACAGCAGCTACAAAGATGTTGGCACTGGTTTGGGCCCCTCCGGTTTCCCTTCTCTTGCATCACTGGATCTAGGCCTATCTTGATATTACTGTATTAATCTGGCACTCTCTACTGCTTAGGTCCATGGTGCCAGAGACAGGGCTTCTGGGGCCTTGAGTGCTGCAGCTGACATGTCAAATCTTTGATGTAGAGTCTTTTGGTGGCAGACTTTCCGGATGGTTCCACTGATGGTGGGGGGTGGGGTGGGGGAGTGAAATGTTGTGTTGTTGTGTTCTTTTTAATTTTTTCAAAGGATTTCAAATGAATAAAAATGGTTCACTCACAACATCCTCTTTGTGGGATATTGTGAATTAGTAAGTTGCCAGAAACTACCTAAAGGCCCTGTATTCTTATTTTAGGTTAATATTCACAAAATTATACATACCAATATACATATACCGGTAAATTATAATAAAATTACCAATTACAAATACAATTACCAAGCCCTCTGACATTTCTAATATTGTGGATAAGTTCATTCTGTGAATTTTTTTATGTTTTTTTTACCAATTGCTTTTTAGTTTATACAGTGTATAATTAATTGTAGAATACATCCTACTGACAAAATTGCTGTTGTGGATCCCTGTTGTTATTCAGTTTGTAAAAGGAATGTTTTTAAAAACATTTCTGACCCCTCATTGGTATTTTCACTATAAGATGATTCAATATAAGATGAACAACTCAAATGTTTCTTTTTTTTCCATTAGCATTTATGAACCTCAGTTGCAGCACCATGTGGCACAGAAGAAAATCCCGTATGTGGACACGCAAGGACGGTTAATCAAACCAGACAAACCAAATGGGATTAAAATGGAAAAATTTGTCTTTGACATCTTTCAGTTTGCCAAGTGAGTTCAGTAATTTTCCACCCTGGTTTAACATATGTGGGGCTGGCAGTGTCTGTGCTGCCTTTAACTTGGAATGAACAGTTATAACAAAGCTACTGAAGTTTCGTCCCTGGATTTAGAAAGAGTGCATTTGTCACTGTGCATTCTCGTTTTTATTTCCTTTCTGAATGGAATCACATTGGCCAGAAAATTTGTCTATGGGTTTTTAAAACATATTTATGGGAGAATTAATATATTTGTGTGCATTTTAATATTTTTGGAACATACTGTACAGCTGTCAAGGTTTATTATCCCTAAAGTGCATACAAGAATGCATCATTGCTTAGCTATTCATTAGGAATATGGTTACATATCCTGAAATTAGTGTTACAGTGCAATAAAATGCATTTTTCCTCATCAAGACCAAAAATCCCACAAAGTCACTAAAAAAGTATTAGGAGTGCATGGTAAATAGTTTCTGCGGTTGTTCTTTTCTTATTTTTATCTGTCCCTGTTACACAGGTCGTTATTTCCTATGCCCAAGATATTTGGAAAATTCTTGTAATGCAGTTCTGCATAGCTTTGTGCTAATAACTTGAGCTGACCATGAATCAGTCCAAGTGTTTAATTAACTTGTAGAAGCTACAATAGCATTGTCTGTTTTAGGAGTAAATGTCTCATTTTAATGAATCCGCAAAATCTCTCGATACTTTTTTACAGCTTAGGCCTGTTTTCATCTTCTACATAAAGAACCATCGGTGGCTGAAACACTTGGTTTTTCTAGAAAGAAATTATAACTATCCTTCAGCTTTTTCCATTTTTAAGACTGTAGGAACATAAGCGTGACTAGAGTTTAACAAAACCTTGCTTTAGGGACAATCCGGTGGAGTTGTTAGTGCCCAGTCCTTACAGAAGCTGACGATTCTGTTCGGTTCACCTCTGCCAGAACCTTTGTTGTGTATGAGGTCCTGAGGGAGGATGAATTTTCACCCCTGAAGAATGCAGACAGTCAGGATGGGAAGGACAACCCTACTACAGCACGCCATGCCCTGATGTCCCTGCATCACCGCTGGGTCCTGACCGCTGGAGGACACTTCATAGACGAGAATGGCACCAGAATCCCTGCAATCCCAAGGTAACCATTCACGCCCTGTGGTTTCCACAAGCGAAAAGATATTCTTTTAGTTATTTGTTTGCTTCTTTCATCCAAAATTAGTTACATTTGTACCTAGTTACGCAATGGGGCATTTTAATGAAAGCATTTTAATCAAGTACCTTCCTCAATACTAAAACAGCATTGCCCTATCCAGGATATGAATCCAGAATCTTTCAGTTGCAGGTCTAGAGCCCTAACCACTACCACTGTCCACTCATCCCCCGTTTGTGTTGATGTTCAGCATATAAAACATAATAAATATATCTTTTTTTAAGTTAGTGTGTCAGGTTTTCATTTTACATTATATTTGCTTCAGTATTTCTTATGTGCATTTTTTTTGTTGATGATTTACACATATGAAACATATTAACCTTTGTTGGTTTAGGGAATAAATTATAGGTCAGCAAATGTGGGAAGTTTTTAAATGTAGTTGAATTGGTTGGGTTTTTTTTTCATTATTTTTTGTACAACACATTTTGGTTTTCATTAACTACATTTATTCCTGTGTAACATTTCTAGAAATGGACCTGCAGGAAGTGTCACAGCCGATGTCACTCAGAAGTAAATATTTTTGGGGTTGGTTTTAGTGCATGGTGGTGGGGCTTTGCTATCATCACAGTTTCAATGATTCCAACACGAAGTAGTTGCAGCTGACTGCAAGGCACGATAGATTGCAAACATTAGCCGCAAATTCTAAAAGATGGTGTTGTCAGCTTATTCACTGGCTGGTCTTAAGTTGGTGTCTACTAACATAGGAATGTGGTGCATGCTCAAGGTTGGGGGCTAGGCATGCTTTGATCCGTGATTCAAGATCTTCTCTTTAGTCTTTTCTTCAAGAATGATTCCTCTTGTTTTAGACGTCTGTCTCAAAGACGCATTCAGTCTCTTAATCCCTAACACTTTCTTTAGTGAACAGCCATTCATTTCCAAGAGTAAATCTGATAACTTCAAAAGAAAATGATCAATACCTTAATTAAAAATGTTTGATCAGATTTTCAATGAATGGATGGCTTTTGATTTATTCCAGCAGCAACTGAGATTGATCTCAAAATGTTAACAAGAGTACAGACCATACATTTGGGGTGTCCTGAATGGATCTTAAATTGAACCATCATTCATTTATTAATTATGTGGGAAAAAAATACATAATAAGAACAATGATTTCCAGAGGCTTCAGTCTCTGATGTGTTTGTAAAAAACAGAACGTAATTATGTGCACGTTTTTAGAAGCAACATCTCATTCAGGCTCTTGTTTGTCCATCAGATTCCCACTAAAATTAGCAAAAAAGCAAGATAGACTAGTTAAGTAAAAAAAACATAAATACTGTATTTAAGCATTAATTAGCATGGGAATCACATATATATATTGAAAGAAATATATATCTTAGATGATCATATTGGGTCATTTATTTTTAAATTAAAAATAAGGAGACAGAGAAAATAATCCGTCAGAGAATAAGAAACGTATTTGAGCTATCATGAAATAACACAGTTGACTTTAGACCAGTGTCGTTTACGAAGTGAGCCATATTTTTCTACAGGACACAAAACTGCAATCTTTGCCTGACAAATTCTCAAAGCTGTGGTTACTTTTTTGAAAATGTTATACCAGAAATGGGTGCCTAAAAATGTGCATCGGCTCACATCCGATTATTGCATCAGATTAAAATCTGACGCATGCTTTAACTTCTAATATCAAGAATTTGTAAAGTAAGTAATTAGCATAGAAAGACGTTGATTTGGGGATTTTTTTTTTTCATTTTATCTCCCATCTTCTTAGCTTAAAGGATGTAACAGACCTGCCAATCAAGTGTGAAATATCTCCACTGGTCTCTTATGGAGGAGAGGTAAGTTTAAAAAGAGTAGTTCTACAAATATGCTCTGATAGATGGTTATTATTATTATGAGTAGTAGTAGTTTATGTGATTTTTGATTTTAGAATGTTTTGGAGTTCATTGATGATGAGAGAATATCAGACTTGCCAGCATGTGAGCAAATAATTAAAAAACTGTCTTTCAGGGAATGGAAAAATTCATACAAGGCCGTGAATTTTGCTCCCCTTTACTAATTGATGAAACTGGAATCCATGAGCTGGTGAAAAATGGAATTTGATGGCTCAGAAGGAAAAACAATCTGTTTTCATCACCTCTTTGCTTTTGGGTTAGGGAAAAAGAAAACTGTGAAGCTCTTGTGCAATAAAATGAATGAAGAAAGTCTAGCCTGGCTATATGAAAGATACAACTTAAAGATCAAGTTATTTATTTTCATAAGACCTATTTTTTTATTGATGTAACATGGGCAAAATTAGATGCTCTTGAGTTTTAATTTGTAGTTTGTATATAAACGTTAGACTTAATATGTCTAGTTTTAATTTTATAAATTTTTAATGTTGGAGATATTTAATAATGGTACTTTTGAAGGGCTTTTATGGTACCTGGTAAAATATCCTTGTGAATTGTTTTTTTTTTCTTTACTTATAAATTATCTGTGTACAATACTATGTCAGAGAGAGTTTCATGTCTTTTCATTCCTGTTGCACAAGTACAAAGCTACTACATAGGCTCACTGTTGGAGAGTTTTATTAAAATTAATGGGGAAAAGGAAATATTCATTTTCTTTAAATGTTTTATGATTTACATTGTCAGCTGCTCAGCAGCTTCAAAGGTCCAGGCAAACTAAAATGAAACTTCGTGCAAGCAGTCTTAAGTTAGTTTATAATAAGTCCAGGTAAACTATAACAGCCTATTAAGAAATAACAAATGGGACTTAAAAACACAGCTTGAATTACAGCAGCCTGCTTGTCCAGTTTAGATCCATGATATGGATTTTCTTATTTGTGTTCTTTAAAATTTGTCTTTGAAAAGCTGTTTCATTAAAATCTTTTTTTCTTATATGTTGTCTGTTGTGATATATATTTTTTTGCTTATATATACTAGCTAAAGTAGTTTCTAATAAAAACATATTAAAGCTGAGTACTAACAAGTTCACAAGGGAAACACAACATCAAAAACTTATATATATCATTCTGCATCAGTTACATTTAATTAGTTTTTATTTTATGGACTCTTTGTTCATGGTGAGCATCAAAGCACTTTGGCATTTACACAACGCTGAATTCTTGCAAAGAATGCATTCTTATTTCTCCAGAAGAATATGCTACAATATTTTTTTACATGTAGTTAGTTACATTTACCTTTACCTTCCATTTATCTGAGTATTTTTTTGACCATTACAAAAATACCAAAGTATTTCTATAATGAACCTCAGCATTTATACATACAGTATATAATTCATCCAAAGACTAGGGGGAGTATTATTATTTCTTCATTACAAGCTTTGCTGAACTCTGAACACAACACATCAGGGAAAAACAATAGGCAACATGACAGTACCCATATTGTGTGAACTTATTTACAAAAACCACATAACTTAAGTTCTTCCATCTTTGAGTTAGAAGGTTTACTGGTGAACGTACACTGGTTGAAGGTAGCCCTTGCTGGGAGTGTTCACCTCTGCTTTCTAGGACATCTGAAACAAAACCCATTTCTTAATTTCTCTGGCCATATCTGTTGATTGAGGAAGCAAGGTATCCGATTATACAAGCGGTGTGCCTTTTATCAGATCAACATCAGTGAGTCTATCTTCTTTATTTAAATTAGGAATTTTTCTCTTTTGAATGTAAATAAAGGTGTTTTTGTGGGGTTTCTATGCAAATTACACACAAAAAAACTTGCACACAAAACAATTACACAATTAACAATTAGCTCCATAGAAACCAAGCCATTTTTAATAATCACGTGAATGCATAAAAATTTCTTACTTTGTGCACCATTATACTTAGTTATGAATTGATTCACTTACATTTCACTGTTCTGTGGCTTCTGTGTCACTCTACTTTTTTATCTGAAGCTAAATCCATGTTCTATAAAACAAATGCTTTTCCTCAATCGTTCCTGTTACTTTTCACGTTAAAGAAACTGACTCTAAATGGTTACTGCCTTTTACTAGAAAGATGTCGGAAAAATATTATATCAGTCCCTTTTTCTCCATTATATGCAGCACTAGGCAACAAATTATGTGTATTAATAAACATAAATCCTTGAATTTTTGTCGATCTACAGCATGTGACTCAATTACAGATTTCTAAATGGATTATTTATATATTTATGGTTGGACATTTAAAAAGCTTTAGCTACATTGCAGCTACAAATTTTGTTTAAAAGCATAACGTAGTATCAAGTTGTGTACAGTCAACAAAGAGACCCTGTAGTTTGTCTTTTTTCTGTCATTTACTGATTTTAGCATTGGCATGCAAGGATTAAAACTTATCAGTCGCTTCTTGCCAAATACAAAAAAAGGTTAACTTGCTACAACTACAACAACCACCAAAATAATTTGTGTTTTGTTCTTCAAGTGCAGCACACAAAGAGTTAATATTTCTATATTTTCACATGAATTGCTTCTGCTGTGAATTATAGTCTTTTTAGAATCCCTTGGGCTGTAAAAAATGGTCCTGAAACAGAAAATTGCAGTGATTGGTCACTTGAAGCTGTCCAAATTGAAACCTTATGTGTAGCATGTGGAATTCTGGGTCTTTTGGCAGCTTCCCAAGAATCCTCAGAATGTAAAGGTTTTTTTTCAGGGACTTCTTACATCAGCTCACTTTGCCTCAGAAAGTTGTCTGTAAGAAAGGGCTTGTGTTTTGTCACAAATCCACCAATACTGACTGGATTACAGGCTTCCAAGGACAAATGGTTTGAAGGCAGCAATACTTAAAAGTAAGTTTAATTGCTTTCTATTAAAAATATTTTTCTTTTATTCATTTTTCTAATCCTTGTAAGTGCTTTAGTTTCTTTTGGGCTTTTGTTGTTAACAGTACTTGCCTGTGACTACTAGGAAAATAAAGAAAGAATAGAGCTTTTTTGTCTTATTTGAAAACAAAGGAGCAATCATTGATGATGTGGTGATTCTTTTTTTAGGGAACAAACCTTTCTAAAACTGTACCTTTCATTTTTCCTTCTGTTAACTGCTGTTTGCATGGCAGGCTAGAATAGAGGATTGCCGAGAAACCAGATGCCTGTTTGGAAGTTGACAAGTTTTCTAATAGTCCCTTATAGTAACAGTAAATTTACATTGATTCTATCAGAAGGGCACAAAATGATACTTTTTCTTGAATAATTAACAGAAAATTAAGTACAGATTTTTGTTGTCTCAAGTTGCATTGAGTATATTGTTTTTATTGATGTCTCAGAGTGTTTTGCATACCTATGCAATACTAAAATAATATACATTATTTTAAATACACAAAAAGCCATTCCATTCTTGAAACGGTTTGTATTGATTTTCCAAATATGCCTGTTTTTAGGGTTTTACTATTACAAATTACTATTTAAAAAAATAAGATTTGTGACTATAGATACTAAGACATTGTGAAAGTGATGACTTTAATGAAAAATAAAAAGATAATCATAGATATAATCTGGGTATATTTTAAATTCTACTCCTTTTTGTATGAAAAAGTAATGGTTGATTAGTATATGGTATTTATCCTTTTGGAACATGTCTTTGAAATTTAAAAGGAGTTACTTAACAGTATGATAGAAAAATAAGACACGTAACTGCTTCACCTTTTGTTCATATTATGCTTGTCCGTTGAATAGCCATTCTTACTATGAAACACTCAATCACATCATCCTTTTATTCTCACTGAAGAATGTTCCCCTGTTTTATTGGATCATTTGTCAGCACTTCTGCTTTTTATCAGGCACCTATCTGGTATCCCCCTAAAATGCAGGCTCCATGCAATTAAACACAATTTCCTGTAGTTTTAAGATCCTATAATACAATCCATCTGTATTTTTCCCAGTGGGGGATATGCTTGTTAAATTTAACTTAGACTTGTAAAATGTTGATGATGATGATAATGATAATGATGATAAATGCAGTTCATTAATTGATACGGATCTGAGGACTTTGTATTGTTTAGATACAGTATCTAAGAAAGAAAACAAACATATCGGAACAGGAAAATGCCGTTATATATCAACTGTAAATTATTTCACAAAATAGGTATGTTAAAATTACCTCTAGGCAAATCAACAAAAATAAACTTTGAAGGTTTTATAAATTAACTTGCATAATGATTCATATCTTATTTTTATATTTTTAATTGAGTTGGTAGTTGGTAACTAACTTGACCTAAGTCTTTCCTACATTTTCTGAGAGTATTTGGAGAGGATTTTTTATGTTGATTTCTTGTATGTATTGTTTTAAGTATTTTGTCAGTGAATTTGAGGTTCAGAAAATATCACTATACATTTTGAAACAATTAGCGTGAAATCCTTTATGATAATCCTGCACATTAATATTATCCCCAATGTAGTATATTCAAAGTGTACGTTATTACATATTATTTCAAGAATTCCCAAAAAGTACATTTAAATGAAATCTTGTGATTAATCATTTGCCTGTTTGTTTCAATACAAATGTCCCTTATCCAAAATGGAATTCATGCACAAAACACTATATAGGCAATTCTTTAATAAGCTTTTGTTAATAAAACAGAAACATTGTGATGAAAAGACACCGCATGCACTCTTAGATGTCACACGTGACAGCATGCTGAAAGATTTAATCTCTTAGAAATGATGTTTTACCCTTGGACTGAAAATAGCAAGGGATTGACATTTCAGATCAGCCAAAGTTGCAGGCCCATTATAGGACCTCTGCTTTACTAAGGTCTATGGGCATAAAAAGCACAAGAACAGAGAAGGCCATTTGGCCTGTCTAGTGCGTTTGTAGGCTTCTTTCCAGCCTTTTCTTGAATAATGACAGAATTTCAAGTTTCATTAACATGGCTGGGTAGCTTGTTCCATAGAAGATAAGTGTAACGCAGAAATGTTTCTGCTTTCATACATATAATTTACTCTTGAGACCTTTAAGCTGTCTTCTTGGCTGCATTGCTTCCTGTAAAATGTATCTTTCCATTGTACTCAGAAAGCAGTCTTCCCTTGTCCCACATTAAATATCTGCGTGTGCTTGTCTGTTTACGGGTGTGTTCCCAGCTGTTAAACATTAATGGTGTTGTTTTTATGGACCATTTCCTAAATCAGCATGGGCGCTCTTATTGTCTTAACCCTGTTAAAATAACTATTTTCCATTATTGTTAATTGTGAGACGTTCTTTAATTGTGTGAAAGGACTGAACCTTATATTAATACATACAGTACATGGTCTTTTTAGAACTGTCAGGGCAACAATAAAACCTTGGAAAGAAGTGAGTGTAAAAATGTCATTTCAATTACACAATGATTTCCATCATCTTAATCCATGGAGGGCAAATAACTAAAAATCCATGGCAAACTTGTACAGATAGAAAATCTGTGTTTTAACTTTTAACTTTTTTTAACTTTGTGTGGTACTATTTCAGTTTATGTTGTTGTTATTCTAATCATCTTTCATCTAATTGACATGTAGGAATAAGACAATTAATATGTGTGCCAATGTACTGAAACAAGTCAGAAATCCTGTCCCCAGTACTAGGAAATGTTTACTATAAAAATCATGTTCATTTATATGCATAAACATGTTTTGTTTTCATTGACTATAAAGGCTTTCAATTTAATTTTAAAAATTATATAATCAAACGTGCCTATCTGTCTTTGAAGGCCAGATATTGAAAACAAACTCTCAGAATCCCCATTATGAATGGTTCATGCTCACACACTATATCCTGGTTACTTCTAATTGGTAAAGGTGTTGAAATACAATCTTTAAATACATACAGGGACACTATTATTTATGTATCTAAATGTGTATTATACATTATTTATGTACGTATCTAAAAATAATACAAAATGGTCCAGTTTATTTGTAGGACTAGGTCATACAAACACTAGGAAGATTCAGGAAAAAATGTATGAAAGTCTTACATTTGTCTACATTATATGTGAATGATTTCATTTCCTGTTAAATTTACAATCCCCACCACTGTAATAGAAATACTAAAATATTTCCTGGAATTGCAAGCATGTGCTGTAAAACGTTTATAAATAATTAAAACAGATTAGGTCTGTCAGTTAGCCATTTTGTCTATTGTTCGCAGACTTACTAATTGTAAGATTACATACGATAGAAGCTAGAATGCAATGTTAGTCTCATGAAAGCAATTAAGTTACTAATTAAAACAATGAGGCAGAACTATGGAGAGCTGCCTAACTGACAACTTGTATGACCGCTTTACATTTGAGATAAACAAGTTTTATCAATATTATGCATTATTCCTTTTTGCAAATATGGAAGATCAGTATGTGAGCCAGATTTGACCAAATGCTGTTTATGTACATGTATCTACACACCAAAATCACACAAACAATATTTTGACATGGTACAGTGATTTAATCATGTTTTTGAATGTGTATATTTATTATGAGCACTTTTAGATACCTACATTGAAGATTATAATTTCTTCAAAAATCAATAAAAACAAAATCTAACCTCTTTTGAAGCCATCAGTTAATTTAGTAATGAGACAAGATAAGACACAACTTCCAGGAATTTTGGGAGTGTTCACGATAAACCAACGCAATGGTGTCTGTTTACCCTAGCAGCGCAAATGTTTTCAATCAAAATCATTTTACGCAGTGAAATGTATCCCTTAAGTATAATTTTGAAAATCTCACTGGAAAAAAATCTGTTTCGAATTATACCCCCTTTAAAATGGATAGCGTCCTATATTTGATCTAAGACAAAATGTTTTTGTCTTTATAGGTTAAGCTAAAACACTAGAAAGGTCTAGGTATTTATTAAATATTATTTAACATTAAGATACATATAACAATGTGCATGCAGTGGTCTGCACAGAGCTATGGGAATTTGTATCTTCTACTGTTTAAACTCCATCATTCAGCACACAAACACCACTCCCTGCTAAAGCAATTACCCGCTCACTATTTTAAACAATCCAGCTGGTAACCCATAATTATTGGTCTCAGCATCCTTCTCTGTTCTTACACTTTCTGAATAAGGAGGCAGGATTGGAATTTTGCAACATTGTTGAAGCAGTTTGGTGGCACTACAAAAGTGTTTCAGTCTGGCTGTTATCATGCAATAAGTTTGAATTCCACATCTGCAAAAACAATAGTTACAGTATTTGCTCCTGATTAACCAAAAATGCAGGCTGTATATCTAATAATCACAAGGAACACAAAGTATAGATGGAGTGACATCCTTGGTTATAGTGAACAATAAATCCTTTTAAAAGGATTATGAGAGGTGCGCTGTGACGTGGGGGGAGGGGCGGGCAGTGGATTTTGCTAGATTATTCATGTGGTAGTTTTCCAGTTTGGCAGGTGACTTGCAAAAATATCCCAAACACACAAGCGAAGTGTTGACAAATCTCAAGGATCATATCAAGGATGTAAATCACAGATGGCTATAGAATATTTAATGAGGAAACCAATGTTTTCCACTCAGGAAAAACATAGTTCATGAATGAAGTTTAACTTTTCGATCAGTTCAAAATAAATTCAAGGGGCAGCAAGCATAAATAATTAAAGTCTAGGTGTCAAAACCTGATGTCTGAGGCCTTCACTGATGTCTAATCCTGCTGATAGACAGTTGAGGAATTCTGTGCTACTGCTGGTTCTTAAAATTGTACCAGAGAGAATATGTACTTTTTAATAATGAAAAAGGTTTAATGTTTTGTTTCAGAGCAAAAAGCCAGCACACAAAAATAGTGATTGCAGGAATTGGTAGCAGCTGGGGTTTGTCTTACTTCC